GCACAACAGTAGGTAAGCAAACTCTCGGAACTGAGCTGAAAGCTTATTCAACTTCTCAGACATAGGGTTGATGGGTAGAAATTACAGAGAAATATTTTGGTCTTCCAAGAAGCAAACTTTTCAAATAACCAGACTGTCTTCAATTTACACAGATGAGGAGGTAACACAGCACCATTCATTCAAATGAATATATGCAGCAGGTTTTGGTGAGGATGGGGATCCCTGGGGCTGTCACCACTGCAGGGAACAGCATAGGACCTCATGGGCACCCTGGAGTCGCTTTCCAAAAAGTATATATACTTACCTCATAACCCTTACTCTCCCAGATGTTAACCCAAGATAAATGGAAACACTTATCCCCAAAGACATGCATGGATATCTGTAGCAGCCATCTTTACAATAGCCAAAAATTAGTCATTAATAAATGAATTAAATGGATAAAAAAAATAGGATATGGTCACCTGGTGGAAAATGACTTGGTAATAAAAGGAACAACCTGCTGATACACACAACATGAAGGAATCTCAAAATCATTATACCAAGATAACAAAGCCAGACTTGAAGGCATATGACTTTAATATTCTGTTTATGTAAAATCTAGAAAATGCAAATATTTAAGTAAACAAAGCAGGGCAGTGTTCGCCTGGGGTAGAGGGTTGAGAGAGATGGACTGCAAAGAGACATGGGGAAACTTTGGGGGAAACTTTTCATTTTTTTCCTTTTAACTCTGTCTTAGTTTTGGCATTAAAATAGACACAAATTTAAACTTTAAATATTTTTAAAAATTTGTTTATTTATGTTTTTGTGATGCTGGTGATCAAACCCAGGGCTCTATGTGTGCCACGCAAACCCTCTACCACCGAGCTAATTTTTTTTTTTAATGTAGCCATTTCTTTTATAATTTTTACCTTTGACATTGGACTTCAAAATACCTTACTTAAAGATTATGTAAATATTCATTGATTTGATTTTTCTCATATGCTATTACCCTTGCTTAAAGATTATGTAAATATTCACTGATTTGATTTTTTTCATATGCTGTTATGCTTTAGTTTCCTTATATTTAGCTTATTATTTCACTTTTTTTTTTCAAAGTTAATAGGGAAATATAGAGATCTAACATCTGAAATAGTGAAGGGATTGACCTGACACCAGCTACTGAAGAATCCACCGTTTCCTCAGTTATGCATTGAGGGTGATGTGTGAGGGGTTGTGTTAACTGAGAATACAAACACAGTTCCTGCCCTCTAGGAGCTGTGCCTGGGGAGGGGGTTAGTGAAGAGGATTACAGAGAAGTGAATTGAGCTCAGCGGTGGCATTGATTACAAAGCACTGTAATATTTAGAAGGGGCCCCAATAGGGTGGCAGGTTTTGGGGACAGTGGTCAAAGAGCTTCTAGTAGGAGATAACATCTGATCTGCCTGACAGGTAAGCCTGTGCTAACCTGATTTTGGAAGAGGGCATTTCAGGTGAGGGATAAACATGCTCAGAGAAGCAAATCCATGGGTGGGGGCGGCAGACGACTGGGGAGTCTTATGTAGCATGCTTCACTGTCACCTGGGCATGGGGTGAGGCTAGCGGACAGGCCATACTGTGTCCTTATATTTTGTGTCATAAACTCATAGGAGCCACAGTTGGATTTTAAGCAATGGAATGAAATAATGAAATAATAATGATTATTGATTTGTCTCATGTTGCCTTGCTTAAAAAGGGTAGGTAAAATTTATATTTTACTATTTATATGTGGACTTTCTGTGGAAATCAGAATTATCTGGCACTATTGTTCTGATCTAATCTAACTCCAAAGCAGGCCTCCCCCTTGGTTTGACTCACACCTTGGTCATCCTTGACAACATCCTTCAGTCTGATGGTTTATACGAGGGTGGAGTTGCTCCTTGGTGTCTGGATCTCATACCTGGCTATAAGCCCACTATACTCAATTCAAATAAGTGATGAATTTACTGCCTAACACATGCTCAACAAAATTTCATGGATTCAGTATCTATCTCATTTAAAATTTTTACAGATATTTTTATCTCATGCATTGCATATGAAAGGTCTGTAAGGATCTCTGAAATTTATCATAGGTTCTATTACACAGATCAGGAAATGAMTTATCAAAAGAGCCACACAATGAATTAGGAAGTGAGTAGATGAAAATGCTCCTTTTGACAGGTGCCTCCTTATTGCCATTCGGTCCCCTGGTCTGCTGAGGGCTGAGCTATTTGTGTGGGGTATGGAACAGTGTTCTCATTGCAGCAGGGGCCTGAGCTTGAACTAGTGTCTCTCACTTTCCTACCACTGACTGGTGGATATTTTATGAAATGCAWGCCATCAGGAAGTTCTTTCTTTGGAAGAATCCTCAGGAATCTGGGCAGGTTGTCAGGGTCTACTTGGTCATTTGCCATAACAAAGCAGATGCCTTTGGCAGATGATGGGCTGTTCCCTGACACCCCAACAGACCTATAGACTCTTTCCAGAGTGCTGAACACAGCATCCACTGCTGCTGTCAATCCATGATCCGGTACTTGCGTTCGTGATTGCCAACAGTGCCGCAAGGCTGCTGTGTTCCAGARTCAGGTGTTACCCTTCCTTTACGAAGGGAATCTTTAGTAGGCGGGGAAGATTTTTCCTTAAGTCCTTCAAATATTTTGCCATACTGATCCCTCTGTCATACACAGGTCAGGACAAAGTCAGTCCAAGCCCTTGTTATTTCATGAGTAACTCCCTGTCCCTTCTGCTCAGAAAAACATGAGGCTGTTCCGTGGGAGTGGCACACAGCATGCTCATATCTTTAGCAACACAAAGTTCATGGCATCAGCAATCCGTATTTGTTCCTTGGGTTTAAGAAAACAACAGAAGGACTGCATACCTAGCTTCTTGAATAGTGGTATAAATTTGTCCATTTAATGACATGTCCAAGATTGTGAATAACACCAATTTTTTTATTGATGTATTCATTTTTTTCTGGATTAAAAAAAGTGATATGTGTTAGTTATAGAAAAAAGGGTAAATTAAGAAAAAAATTAAGTGTATTAACCAGGTCTTTTCTTTTCCATACTGCTGCTTTGACCTCTGGGCCTTGCTGACCTTGGAGGGACAGCTCCTTCCAGGGTGAGCCAGTTCCTAGAGATTGTAAACAACTTGTCCTTGAGAGCACTTTTCAAATAAAAAGCAACCAATCCAGAGCCCACAACCCAACCCAGCTCACAGTTTGGGCTGCTGTCCATCTGCCCTAAATCACCCCAGGGCCAGACAACTAGACACWGCTCCTCTGCCCCAGAACTTGCTAAAGGTATTTGGACCAGCCAGTCCTGAACACGCCCCTCCCTGCAGAAGCCACAGTTAAGGCTGTCGCCCACAGTTCTCCCTGTCCCTCTGCCCAACCCCAGTGCTTTTCCTTGTGGTCCCCTTGGTGGCTAAGCATGCCCCCTTCTCTCGGGAACTGTAACAACCTACCTTTTCAGTGCCAGTTATATCCCCATCTGTTGGCCCTMCAGTGCAGTGGTTCCCCTTATCCAGGGGGAACTTCGTCCAGGACTCCTGGTATATGCCCAAAACCATGGGTAACACTGGACCCTATGCATGCTGTTTCTTTTCTCATCTATACATATCTATGGTAAAGTTTAACATATAAATCGGGCATTGTAAGAGATTAACAATGATAATAAAACAGAACATTTTTGACAATATAGTGTAATAAAAATTTTTTTTGAATGTGGCCTCTCTCTTGAAAGACTCAAGGCAAATATTAATATTTAAAAATTTTCTTTTAGTTGTAGATGGACACAACACCTTCATTTTATTTATTCGTTTTTATGTAGTGATGAGGATCGAACCCAGTGCCTCACACATAAGATGAGTGCTCTACCACCGAGCCACAACCCTAGCCTCAAATATTAATATTTTGGGACCTTAGTTGACCGTGGGTAACTGAAACTACAGAAAGGAAGCCACATATGAGGGGGATCTGTTGTACCTTGTATTTTCCATTGATGCACTTTATGAGCAAGGATCATACATTTTGTATAACACAATTTCATAAGTGGTTTGAAACATTTGAAGGTTCCATCGTCATCCATCACAGGATTGTATCCTAATTTTTTAACGGTTCCTTTGTTTTCAGGTTTAACTTGAAGTATTTTCATGAATTTCTCTATGTAGAAAAGTCTTTATGTACATCTTTAAATTTTAGGGTAAATTTAAAGAAATAGCATTTCTGGGTTAAAAGACAGCATGTTCTGTCCCTGGGTAACAGTTTTCCATATTGCATTCTGGAAAAGTTATTCTAATTTCCACGCCTACCAAAGGAGTATGAAATTGTGAGGGTGCCACTCCTCTCAGCCCCTCCCTCCCTGAGGCACCTTTGCCAGTACAACAAATTATCAGTATTAATCAATTTGATCGCTACTTTTTGAATCTAGTGGTTCTCAGGTTAGGTATAATGTGAGCAGCCCAGATTTGAGGAAATTGACCACCACATGCTGTGGAAGCCAGTCACTCTGTTGCAGGATTCAGAACCAGGAAGTGATGTTGGTATTGACTGAGTCCATTGCCATTCCCACTGCCATTTGGTTGTCTTCATTTAGCTTTTCTGTTTATTGCATCCTTCTTCCATTCTTGTTTTCATCATCTGGGGACCTCCAGGATGCTGCTGCCTCATATTTTCGGAGTCATTTCCCTTTCTCCCCCACCCCCGAGTCACCCTGGGCAGCCCTGGTCTGCCTTCCCTTTCCCAACACTCTCCATCCTCACCCCACGGCAGACAGCCCTCTCTCATAGACCCTCGAGTCAGCTGGAAATGCTTCGCCTCCAAATCCCCAATCTGAACTTCTCCCTCCTGACCATGGCTTCGTGTGACTCTCCCGCTCACGTCTAATCTGTTTCCACCCATCTTGTCACTGGGCATGCTGTCCACCTGCCAGCTCTCCTGCCAGCTCCTCTGGTGTCTCTCACTCTCCTGCCCTGGTCTGTACTCTAGGATGCCCCATTTTACGGTGATGTACAGACATCACTTATTCCTTTGTCCTCTTGAACTTCCACAGCTTTCCTGGGCAGTGGACTGGACTTGGGTAAGCAAAAGCATATGTTTTCTGAGCTTTGGTTCTTCAGCCGTTGGAGACCATGAGCAAAGTCATACTCCAGCAAAGCTCTGCGTCCCTGGAATCGAGGAGTGTATGGTTCTCCCTTTATTATTTGGAACTCACAGAAATCAACAGTTTTAAAATAAAAAAGTGAGAGAGAAAAATAAACCTAAATATATTTTAGTTTGTAAAGTCTGAGAGGGTTCTATGTTGTCTCAAAGACTTCCACTTTTCTCACATCTGAACCTTCCTCTCATAAAACAATTTAATGAATGAACCATCCTGAGGATTTCCAGTTTAGACATCTTGCTCCTTTGGAGGCTAAAGTCAAGAGAATCCAATTTCCTCCCTATAGTCTAGGTGGGAGAGGGAGATCTTCCTCTGACCTTGCAGTATTACATCTGAGATGTGCCTGGGAACCTGAGGTCTGGAAGRGTTTGGGGCCTTCCCTGTCCAGGACTAGCAGCAAAGCCATGTTTTCCCAACCAAGCTGGAGAAGGTTCAGAGTACAGCTCTGAGTTTGATCTTTATTACAGAAATAAGCAAGAATCCAGGGGAGGGGCCAGTCCCTCCAGGTAGGCAAAGGAGGAGTACCTTAAGATGAAAGCTGTGGCTTTTGTTAGGAAGACTAATTCCTGAACTGATCTGCAGATATTCCCCCTGCCTTGGTGAGGGTTGACCCAGAAATGAATGGGGCTGACATGCCRTCCTGGGTGAGTACATGTCACCTGGGGGACTATACATTAACTCCTGCTACCTGGAAATAATGATCAGACTCTTCACATAACATCCATGGCTCTCCATGAACAAGTACAATTTACTTTTCCGGCTATATTTCCCAGTACATTTTACACTATGTTCAGTGATGGTGATCTTTGTGCTATTCTTCAATAACCCATATAATTTTTTTTTCTTAAGACATGCTACTTGCAAAATTTTGGAAGAATATGGAAAAGTAGGAAAGAGAAAAATCCTTTGGCCACCCAGATGAAGTGCCTGGAAAGATTTCTATGTGYGTGTAGAAGTGTGTGAATACATGTGGCTTCCCCCTGCACATTCATTATCTTTGTTTCTTATTTTTCCTTTGTTTGTCTTTCATTCTGCTTTGTCACTAAGCATTTTCTGTATTTATGAAACTCACCATAAATGTCATTTTAAATCATGGCATACATAGGATTTTACTGAATACATTTGCTGCCTCCTCTCCCTAGTGTTCTCTAAGCCTAACATACCTATCCAAAAATTGCTTTTAAATGTTATTCCCACCCACCAAACAAAATCGAGTGCCCTTCTCTCTGCATTCCTGCAACATAAGCTTGTATCTTTATCTAGATCTGAGTTCATTCTGTGTTTGGTGTATATGTCTGTGCACCTACACAACACATGTGTGTATAGCATCAGAAACTTCTTGAGGGTAAGTGTGCAATATTAACCTTTTAAGATATATTGGGCTACCTATATTAGATACATTAGAGAGTCAGTCTCTCTCTCTCTCTCTCTCTCTCTCTCTCTCTCTCTCTC